TCTAAGTACTTGTAGCTACACTAACTCTTCCCAAAGGGATAATTACTAAGTTAAAAGCAATGCAAATCAATGTATTTATCCCAGGGTGGCGGTAGTTGTTTAATTAAGGAACTAAAACTTGTTATAAAGAGCGTACTCCTAGTAGCAGTTTTACGACACCTAGATCAATTTTCAGTGGTGCTCAGTTCCAAGTTAAAATAACATTTAGCGTGTAGAGATAGACAGGGAATCCTTAGCAATTTCTTATTGCAGACTTGGTTCTCGCATACTTGTGGATCAGGTGCTTTCATGTGGTTTAATTGCGTAAATGCCCGTGGTTGTTTCTTCATATATATCTCATTGTTTCAAGGGCATGCAAACCAATGCGGATGTGGATGGACAGCAGAAGTCTTGAGAAATGCGTCTGAACTAGTATTGCTGCCAGAACTGGTTTTTATATAAGCAGAGAGATGTTTGCACTTTGCAAGACTCTCACCAAGTTTGATTAAAGTTATGTCGTACAAATATTTGCAACAAAGTTATGTCCTTTCAAATTTGTCATAAAAAGAGATGAGAAATGGTGCGTCGTATCCTATCTAATGACAGCTCACTGTATCGAAAAGCATGTTTAATGGATTGTCTGATTTCACTTACTTAAACTTACTTAGTGGTGCATTAATGTCGGGGATCCAGTATTCCCCTCGACGGCTCATCCCTAATTCCTCCACTCCAGTGGGTGAGTCATCGGCGGCAACTTACTGAGAGCCCCATCTGTGTAAATCCGCCTCATCCATCAGGTCAAGGTCATGCTTGACTTATATAAGTGGGTGCATTCAGGCAGACCACTCGGCCCATGGCTGAGACATCAAAAACGCTCTGCACAAGGCCGTGTCTTGTTCTGCATTAGCGTGGGAAGGTGAAGTGGTTAGCGTCTGGGAAGGGATATGGGGTACCGGTTAGCTCAGGGGCTGTGTGGTCTTTGTGGAGGGCAGAACGTAACAATTGAGGGCTTATAAGGAAAGATTATGAAAAGAAACTTGGGACAGGAACCAACGTTCAGGTTCGGACAATTGATGCACCGTGAATTGTGGGAAGAATAATCGGCCGAGAATGCTCGGCATTGTGCAGTTAGGAAATTGATACACTCTCATAAATGGAACAAGGGATTCCAAAACTATTTTCTTAAGCCAAATTAATTGGAAAAGCTAACTTGGTTTAAAAATTTAGATTTGCAAATACACAGCTTTGATGCAGGAAGTAATCTAAGGTACTCTTGCGTATTTTCAAACACCTAATCCAAAGATTTATTAGTTTATGGATATGCTGCATCATTCAAAGATGCTGCCGAGCTAAGCGGGAGTTCAACAGTGAGACCGGGTCAACGAAAGCGAGTGTCGAGAGTGAAAGAGCGTCTGAGCAAAAAGGCAGAATCCTGAACGAAAAATTGCTATTTGCCGGCGTGTATAATGTTGGTATGCGTAAGAAAAAGAGGTCATCAGATTTTGCTGGCACCAGCATATGGTCTTTAGCCACACAGAGCCACAGCGTTGAATTGACCCAATCACTTAACACAGGGTCGGAAGACTAATTCCGGAAATGTGTATAAAACAAACTTGATGTTAGTTTCATAAGCACAAACATGTTGCGAATTCTAGCCATCTAATAATTAGCTCTCGTTTCCAATATGCGCACTAGTCAGTTGCAATGGGGTGGTGTTTCCCTTCCTGCTACAAAATTTTGGGACACAAAACATTTATTATTATGTAGCTGGCAATGAATTTTTCTATGATGGGAAGCAGAATTACACAGTTTTATTGCTGACTATAGACCATTCTCCTTCAATGGACAGAGCTACACCCTGAATTACATTTTTATTTAACTTACAGTTCAAATTAATATTTATTGACTTGTGGAAGTGAGAGATATTTAATTATTTGTATGCCAGAATTCACTTGTAACAACAACAAAAGCTCCTTTAGATAGGTCCTAGAACTATTTTGCGAGTACATTCCCAAAGGCCAGGTTTACGATCATACAACACAGAGCTTGTCCATCCTATAAAAAAACTCAAGATGTCTTGCTTATTCTGAATTTTAGATTATCCTACTTACTATGAGAAATGAATACATTCATGAATAAAATTAAATGGCATAATCTTTGATTTTCATTTTGCTAGCAGTATGCAACTTCAAGAGCCTAGCTTGGCAATGAATTTTTAAAGTGACAGAGATATTAAAATAAGCTGATGGGTATTTACGAATTTAAGTTCTTGCAACGTTTGAGTGCGGTCTAAATTTTCAGCCTTGTCTATTATGTATTGTCATTTTGATAGGTTCGTCCAGGTTGCTAAGTCAGTATTCATGACCTCAAACATTGGTAGTTTGAGCGTGTTCTACATTAGCACTTATTTTAATCAATTACAGCTTGAAAAGGGATGACAAGTGTCGATTTCGCTTTTGCCAAAATTTCGTTGTTCACAAGCTAAGGAAGACATCAATGTTAAAAAGCTAATCTCACACCTTTCATGCAGTATGTCTTTTTCCAAAGAGCCAAAAGATGTCTAGCATGTTTGTTCAGTATCATATTTAAAAGCCATGTCGTTAGTTGTCGCTGTATTTGGAACTTGCACTTGCGTTGGTCTACGATAAAGAACATTCAAGGCACAATCAGATGTTTATTTTTCCATGGTAAATTACCATTGAATCCCTAAAGACTTTTCACGCTTTTGCCGCGTACGCATCCAAGCTTGAATTGTCAGTATTTTTGAGGTAAACACGAGAAAGAGATGCTTCCAGTGGTTGATACATTTGTCTGTTCGTGTCAAGTCGCCCTAAAACTGCACCTATGTACTTCGAGTAAATGTTTATTTTTTTTGCTCAGGTTCTCACCATTGCATCATATGACTCCCAGTTAAGTCCACCTGCACGATTCAGCATCTTTTAGTGTGCCAGGCTCTAGCCAATTCATATTTGGATCGCAGGCTAGTCTCATTTGAACTCCTACACCACTCAACCACCGTTCCTCCGTTACTCATACGCACATAGACACTTGGCTGCTGTGACACCAATAAACGGTCGTGTTCTATGATGCTTCTACTAACTCTCTTCTCGGGATGCAACGGGCTGTTAACTAGAGAGTTGTAAGGGAGTGTTATTTAAGCCACTATAAATGCTCAACGCGTCTTTCTTGTTTCTGTCGATTAAAATTTGAAATTTAGGTGCAAAGAGAAACAACTTGCCATTTAAAAGTTCAATTATACTTTCAAACATACGCGCAATTTCTCAACTTGTCAATACTGATTAACATAAAATGTGTGGTAGAAAAACATTTTTTTGAAAACAAATGGAGTATGGTAGATTAAAAGACAACATATCATTGGCAGCATTTTACGGTCAAATAATGCGACATTTGACCATGGGAGGTTGTTTCAACTTTGGTTACGAAAAAAGCACCAGGAAGAAACTGCAAAAAACGTGTCATTTTCCTCAAAATCAAAACCCTGATATCGTGGCAAATACTGATGTTTTTTTATCAGTGAGCGTAACAGGCAACTGACGGCTAATTTATTAAAAATGAAAATAATGGTTGTTACGGACTATCAAGTAACAGGGCTGTAAGGTAGTGCTGACGAAGCCGCTACAAGTAGTGTTTGCCTGAAGTGATTTTCGACCAGGCTTTAGCAAATCTTGAGTTGGCAAAACACGGCTTGCCATTGACGTTACCTTAGTTGAGGCCGCAGTTTGAATTGTATAGCTTAGATGTAAATGTGACTGACTGCGAATTCCCCCGAACATCATTTGTGAAAACAGCCTCATTATCATGAGAGTCAACCGTATTTCACACCTCTTTTAAAGGCAGTCATTCCCATCATATTTCCTACTGGTTCTAGCTCATTGGGAAATTTGAGCCACTACTTAAAACAACTGCTCCTGCGTTCTTCGCATGGCACCGCTTGTTATAACAACAGGAGGACTAAGACTAACATGTTTCTGAAGGCATTCATTAAAAGGTCTTGTTAGATATACCGCTCAGATCATCATGAGAGATATCAAACCAAACTGTCTTGATTTTTGCAGATCGTTCTAACCTTAATTCCATTGCAGTGTTTCTAAAACCTATAAACCATACTAGAAATAGGCACTTTTATCCTAGTCACCCTTAATGCAATATGGGTCAAGAAAAAGGGGTTTGCATATAGAATTTTAAAGGCATTATATGTTTTAAAGACAAGTTGACTGTGTAGTGATTTTGTGAGTGTAGTAAACCGTAGAAGCAAACTACAAAAAAATTTGTTAGAATGCACTAAGAAGAGTCAGAATTCTCTAACTCATGTCCTTGGGAATGCATGTACTACAGGATCTTCCCCGGGCATACTTGAAATTCTTCGTCTTGTCTGTAAATTAATCACAAATGGTTAATGTCATTAACGCAGATCTAAATCACAACATCAAAAAATATTTCTTTTTCTGAACATTCTTTATTCATTTAGGGAATATTGAGGCATTGTTTATGTTTGCATGTTAGTTAGACAATTTGGCCCAAAACAGTTCAAGGCAACAACGCATTAAAGATTTTGATACATTCATTGACTGTGTGAGTTAAAATGCATAATGTAAAAAAGAAAACAAACAACTTAAACTGAAATACCAAATGAATCAGACGCCACCAAAACAATAATTTGACTCATAATAAGTATTGAGAGATTGGAAGGGCTACTTAGAGCTTAATAAATAAAATGACGACCGATCTACGAGGAATGGGTGAATTTAATGAGTTTTTAAGCCACACTGCGCAGCGATGCTCTCAAATGACTGTCAAAGATGTATAAATATTTAATGTCAATGGATGTGTAAATTGTGCAGACTAATGTCAAGGCCAACCAATGCTCTAGGTTCCGTTTCGCACACATCCATTCTGTGTTCATGCAAACACGAGAGCTCATTGGTGCAAATTCACAACTAGAGGTGAACTGACTCTCCTAGTCTACCTTAACAATCAACAGCGTGTACGCTGCATTCGTCATGGAAATTAGGTGTAAAAGAAAATGGTTTCGGCTGTACCTAGCCTTCGTAATTCTCATCCTCATTTTCGCTTTCATTCAACGTCCATATGTCCTCCCAAAGTACGATTCCTACAACGCAGTCCTATTTGGGGAAGCCGCCTTTTACGAAAATCTAATGAGAGACAACATACTTCAACAAGCCAGAACAACTTTGTCACTCAGAAACATTTCCCGTGTTGATATCATTCGCCACGGTCTGAATATCACGCACCAATTCATGGAACTTGATCAATCCGAATTCATTCAGGCACCCCGCAGGTGGTGTACCCACGATCCTGCCACTAAGAACCTCACAATCGACAGCGATCTTCGCACATGCTTCCCGAAAGTCGTCCTCTCAAATTCTACCCTGATTAGAAACACTCTCCGTTTGATTCGTGATACCTTACACGCAGCGAACATCGAATATGCACTAACCTATGGCTCGCTCCTGGGCTCTTTACGCTATCATACCAGAATGCCGTTTGATTGTGACTTCGATCTCCTAGTCCATCAGAGGGACCGCCAGCGTGTCTTGCGCACTTTTCTCCAACTGGCATCGAACGCGGACAACCAGATGCGCGTTTTTGACTTACAACCCGCGGATGCAAACGCGAAAATGGGACTGGCCTGTGGACGCGACAGAAGGTGGATGGATCCTCATTACTGGGGCAATTTCAACACAAGCATCGAGTTCCGAGACGGCATTCCAACTGGGCACAATTGGGATGCTTATCATTCGATGATGGCATCCTGTGATATCTACGTGGACATCTACGCGAATGCAGGTGACGATGCTGTGATGGACAAGCTCCACAAATACGCACCAATGTACCGCCCGCTAGAGGGAACGCTCTTCCGCGTATTTCATGGAGCGCGCAGTTACCTGGAAAACTACTACGGTTCCAGCCTCGACGTGTGTGTACCCAAGACCCCAATGATGCGTCGTGGTAACGTCCGTCACTTACCGGACAAATGCAAACAAATGACAGTTCCGTGTAGCACGTTGGACAAATTGTATTCTAGAGTGTTTCGCTTCAAGGTACCCGATGACTCTACGGTGTACGAATTCGGCCTACAGTCCGATGAGACGCACAGATGCTGGGTTCGCACAGTCTTCCTCGTCCGTATACAGGCTTCGATTCATTAAACTCCACCATGTGCATAGTTTTATCACCTATTTCGTGGAAATAAAGGCCTTACTTGCTGCAGCGGCAACGAAGACAAATAGCAAAAGCATGAGTTGTCATCAAATGAGCGTGATTACATTCCATCTAGGACGCTAAGCAGTTTTGTGTCTTCAACTGACCTGGAAATAAATTCTTGCTGCAACAATTGGCACTAAAAATGTTTGTTAGAACAAAAATTCAGCAGTCTAAATATTTTTTGAATAGTGTGGTGTCAATTTGCTACCGCGATAATATTCGACTTAGCTAGCACATTTACCAAACCATTTTGTTCACCTGCATGAGTGTTTCTCACGTGTTCCATCAGTGTTCACTGTGAAAAGGTGTTTTATTTCTATCACCGACTAATGGAATCGAGTCTGGTTGGCTTGATCCCAGATACACAGCTGAGTTACGCGCTGAAATGCCAATTCTCTGTCATTATTATCTCGGGCATTACACTTGTTGAATGTGTTTCTTACAAGTAATAATTTACCATCCAGTGACAAACAATCACAGAAGGCTTGGTTTTGCGTTGTGATTTTGCATTTTATAATGTGCCCGCTTATCTTCACAAATGCTGGCTCTGCAAGTCAGATGAGGGAGCACCATGACTTTGCGGGTTTTTACCACGTGCTTTATGTGACCTGCCTACAGTACCTTGGTGCTGGTCATTCTCGTTCCACGCCACACCTTAACTTGCGTTTCAAGAGTCGATGGCCTTTCGCGTATTACGCATGTCATCAAACAATGACAGACGATGACAAAATGCATGTTTGGAACTTGCATTCTGCTTGGTGTGTTGCGTTATTTGGCACAATACATTTCTGAAACAGCTACGTTTGTAAATGCGAGTACACATAGTTTAGTTGCGAAATAACAAAGTCCAACAAATTAATTGTCGAGATTCCCTGACTCTACAATACTTACTAGGTCATTGATTCAGCACTTAACTAAGATCCAACACACGTGACTACCTAGGAATTCAAAGTAATGTGTTGGCCTGAACGGATTCCACGAGTTCGTAATGCACTCTCTTAAATTCCCAATGCCTTAACAAGACCAAGGTAAACATCTTCCAGCTAAAACCAATAGTCATGCAAACAGGACGTAGATTCCACGAAACCAAACTATGTGCTGTGCGTGGATCAGCCAATTAACGGTCCCTGTAGGAAATACGGGCAATGCACCGTAAGTGACGGTGAAATCAATCAACTGGTCGTTCTGAACTTTTCAGAAGGCAAATCTACATTTGGCAAATCATCCACAGTAAGGGTGGCCAAGACCCTTATTTTCGAGGTTTCTCTTCCTAAGCGATTATGGGTTTTCCACTTAATTGTGTGCAAGGATAGTTCGATGAGCGCGTGAGGATTTCTATTTGGTAGTTAATTAACATGGACTCAGGGAAAACGACTCGTTTTCCGACTGCTTTGCTGAAAAAATGGTCATTTGAACAAATAAGATGGAATTGCCACCTACTTTCATTGAAAGTGCATGGTTAATTGGACACAGCAATAACCAATGCAACATTGAGTTTTTTAGCGAGTGCGACTAATTTTGCTAGAAATTTAACAAAATTAACAAAATGTTGCGACTTCCGTCTTAGAAACTGCTCAATCATTCAATCAAATTAATTATGGGACCACACATTATGTGTTAGGAAAAAATTGTGTTTCTCAGGTGACAATAAGATGAACCGTGTAATGTGCTTTGTTGGTTTGACATAGAATCGTGTTACCACTGAGAGAAATTGTATGAAATTCACAATTACATTGCGGGGTTGATTAGAGACCGGTCAACCATTGGATGGTATTCTAAATCCTTTTGTCTTATCTCTTTAAAACTACAGTAGACCATGAGCAAGTTCCTGTGTTGGATATAGTCTAGAACTCGAAGAATCTAAATTGGGCAAATTACGTCAGACACCTAATAAGTTAAAAAGGGTTGCTAAAAATGTGCGTAATACCTTCTTTTGGTAAGTGGATTAAGACCCTATCTCAGGGCAAGCCGAAATTGCTTGCATGTGGTCGTTAGAAGACTTGATCCAAATCATGGAAACATGCGGATGTCTTTCTGTTCCTCTGCTGTCTCACTTGTTGCAGTAAAATTGGGTTTTTTGTGCTTCAACAAATAGGTGCTTAGCCGCATTTCAACATAGAGAGAGAGCAATATATCAACCGCACAAAATCTACGGTCACCCTTTCATTAGCCCCATTGAAGGAAAGTGTCAGCCAAATCCATTCCTAAGGGTAAAACTGTTGTGAATCGTGTTTATTATGCCCGTTTACCATGACGCTCCATTCATCGACACAGTTGACCCTTTTCACAGTATGCCGTCAACTATGAGGTATCTCAGCTCACCCCGGGTTGGTGCGGATGTCTATCCTGGATTACCACTTCGTGTAACACCAATCGCTTAAATCCCCATATTGATCAACCTATAACTAACACTGTTTCACATACCCTGGTTATAAATGCATACTAGCAAACGCCACACACGACACAACGCCAACAACTTGCTTCAGCTATCTGGTAGAGGGTGTGACTCCGAATCTACAAATTGACTCCCTGATTAAAAAACAGTTCTCCTTGTCAAAATTCGTATAAAATACTGTGCTTAATGTGCTATTAATTAGTTGCCAGAGTTAACTTTGCTATCTTGAGAGGGCGTGCTGATTTGTGGTTTAGTGATCTAGAACCATGCATCCACTCCTTCCAAAACCATTAAAGACCACTGAATTATTTCAACCAAAAGCATAATTTGAACAATTAAATTACATGTATAATACTTTAAAAGTCACAACGTATAGTGACTATATTTCTGTTAAGCTGCGGCAGTTCACAGATCTCTATTCAAA